TGGTGAGTGAGGCATGGAATGGTACAAATGAAATAGTAAGAAATGCTGAAATGGTACCAAAACTGAGTGATATGACCAAAGTGCCATAACACTAAAATACATTAACCTCTAAAACAGCCATATATCTCTGCTATTAAGGTCTATAACTTCATATTGGTTTCAAGAGAAATACTGAAACAAAATTAAGGTTCTTAAATTACATCACAAGTAGGGGGCTGAGCTAAAGTCTCATCTTCCCCTTGAGAGCGACTCGTTCAATTCCTCAGGCGACGAAGGGAAAAGCTCAATATAACGACTGCCTAGTGTCATCCTATCCTTTGCTTGCGCCGCTTTTGCATCCTCAGGATTGGCGAACTCCACAAAAGCTTCCCCGGTTGGCCTCCCTTCGAAATTTAGAGTGATATGAACCGATTCCTCGGACAAAACAAAATCTTTGAAGAATTCAATAATGTCATCCTTCCCTGCTGAATATGGTAGTCCCCTCATTCGCAGAACAGGGGTCACTTCAGTCAGGTCCTTCCCGTCTGAAGGCTTCTGCAATATTCTGGTTTCAAAACACGTAAAGTTAAAGCCATTCCATTCAAATAGGGTATTGACAAACTATAATGAACGATTTTTCAAACAAGTCATCTATAACCTAATGCTGCAGTGCAATAAATGACGGTAAAATGGATATGAAGCTACTCTACTCTACCGATTCTAAGGACCCAGCCAGATCACAAATTATTGCCGATTGGAAACCAAATCGGAACTGCATTCATGCCCTACACCAAATTAGACAAGAAGTGACACGTGGCTCACACATTGTTCACAGTAATAAGTTTATTAATATTCCTTTTGGGACATTCATCAGTAACTTGAACCAGAATATCTTGGATTCCATATACATACATATAGTTCGTCTTTGTTCTTACTCTTGACAGTTAAGGAGTAATCATGAAAAGCTGAACCATGCAAGATGCCATTACATTATTTTCTGTTCTTTTGTATGTTAAGTCAGAATATTCGGGTAACCTAGATCAATATTCAATACCATAACCTTTTGATAAATAACTAGTGTATTCTTTCTTGAAAGAAATTAACTATTGCCATTAATAATGGCCAATGTTGTAAAAATCGGCCTAGGCGGCGCACCTAGGCCGAGGCGATTTCAGCCCTAGGCAGCTTTTAGTCGACTGACCGACTAACCGGCCGACTATGCACCCTAGGTGCCGACTCGGCCGAGTTGAGCGCCTAACTTGGTCGAGTGATTTTTTTTGCCTACTCGGCTACTCCTCTTCTATATTTCTCCAGCCATGTACTCAACTAACCATCTAATTTACTAGTTTGGAAGATTATACCAATCTAACAACTCCTAGCCTTGAGTGGGAAAAGTGGAGATGATATACTCGGATTACTAGGCCGCCTAGCGCCTTCTGCAACATTGATTATGGCAATTGAAAAAATAGAGCAAATTCCACTTTTAGTCATTCGCTATTGTGGCATTGCCGCATTTAGTCCTACTCTTTTAGTTCTGCCACATTATATCCCTGACTTTCATTTGTTTGTCACAATTAGTCCTTTTAAAATTTTGTCATTTCCACCATTTAATACATATGGCAAACATGTAATTTAATTATTCAATTAGAAGAGTTTACGAGAGGAGAGAAATTACATGTTAGGGAAATGCAATTAACAAAAAATTACTAAATGGGGTGATGCCACAATAATCAAGGACTATTGGAATTTGCTATAATATGATTGAAAATGCAAACCATAGCACTAAGAGTACATCTCTTCTTGCTATAATATAGAGTTCCTCGTTCATTAAATGCATACACCAGTTCCTGATCCATCTTTACTGAAAAGAAGAAACCAATGAAGCTCCCTAAATTATATCTATTCTGAATATCAATCATTAGAAAATGGTTGCAAAAAGGACATTATGATTTGTTTTGGTGACAAAAACTTAGTACCCTAAATAATCATTCAGTATTAGTTTCAATTTAAAGGAATGAACTTATTATCAAGTGAAAGGCGACAAAAAAATCTCAAAGTGAAAACTAACAAGCAATGAATACGAAAAAGAGGAGGGATAAGCGAGAAAAGAAGAAAATTGTCACCTGCCCTTTGAGACCGTTTCCTCCAACTCTTCCTGAGACGATGGGAAAAGCTCAATGTAGCGAGTCCCTATTGTCATCCTATCCTTAGCCATTGCAGCTCTCGAATCTTCTGCATCTGCAAACTCCACAAATGCTTCTCCAGTTGGCCTTCCCTCTGAATTAGCAATTATATTAACCGAGTCCTCTGGAAGCGAAAATTTCTTGAAGAACTCGATAATATCTTCCTTGCTAGCCGAGAATGGCAGTCCCCTTAGCCGTAAAACTCCAGTATGTTCTGCCAAGTCCTTCCGGTCTTCAGAAGATCTAGCCCTCGGAACAGAATTACCACAAGCATCCGATTGTTCGTTGGCTATAGCCCTATAGTATTCCTGCTTCTTGCTTCTGAAAACTTCAACATATCTTCTACCGATATTCTGCCTATTCCTCTGAAGAGCAAAATCAACTTGAAGGGGGTACCCCAAAACACAATAAGCTTCCCCCGTAAATCTTCCACCCTTGTGGACCAGAAGCACATCAACTACATCCAGACCATGCAAGAAATCCGCTATCTCACCCTCCGTGCAATCAAATGGGAGGCCACGAAGTCGAACAACAGGGAAAGGCGGAGGCTGGCCAATATAATTAGAGTATTCAACAGGAGCGGGAGGAGGGGCAGGATTGTACATATAACTCGACCCGGGCGGAATCGAGTAATAAGAGGAACCTTGATCCATTACGCGCTGCCTTTTCAGACCCATTTCTCGAGCATCACCACCATCCATAAACCTTCTGTATATCACAAGGAAAACAGTTTAATGCCACTGCATACACTAGTAACGAAAAGGGCTTTCTGGAATAGTTCAACCCAAAACTATCAAAACGGGCAAAGGTAAAAACATAATAAGCATATGCCTGCCTATTCATATCCACATTAAACACATAACTAAATACCATAAATATCAGACTGCATTCTATTTTTCCAAGTTACACTTCACAAAACCATCATCAAACAAAAATAAAATCTAATTTTCGGTGTTTAGCAGTAAACCTATTTTCTGACTCATGTAAATACGAATGAAAATTAAAGGAGAAAAGATTAGATTTTTTTAAAAGAAAACTAAAAAAGAAAAACATGTAAATGCTCCGTAGACAAGAACAGAACTCAGAATCTGCTACGACTATGACATCAGCACCTAAGTTTATGTGAATTATGACTCAATACGAAAGATGCTAGCATGACATCAAATTCCAGTCAAAGAGATAAAAATTTTCATACCAAACAGCGCAGAATCAATAAAAAGGATTAAATTACTACAATCAAAGCAATACCCAGATCGAAATGTGTGATTAAAAGTGAATACATTACACGAATAAAATTGTGGGGGGAAAAAAAAAAAAGAAATCTTGAAAGAAAATGAAGGAGAAAGAGCTCGAATTTCCTACCCTCTGTAAAACATTTTGTCAGCAATGATGCTTCCCGCAGCACTAACCGATCCCCTGTCCGTGTCTGAGGTTTTCTTTTTGCGTTGTAGGGTTCTTCCTTCTTCGTTCCTGTTCCTGTTCCTGTTCCTGTTCCTGTGTTGGTGCTTAGGAAGCAGAGGCGCAATATGGGGGTTCCAATGGTATGAAAGGTGCTCCTATGAAACGACGTCGTTCATACTTACATTGTATGTGTTTATACTTGGGTCAATTGGGTGTTTTATCAATAGAGTTAATACTTGATTTGGTCCCTCGACTATTACGATTTTATCACTTTGGTCTTTAATTTTATCTTTAACTATGTAATTGTTAATCAAAATGTTACTAATCGGGACTATTTTAGTTTAGAAAAAGAATTATTTTAAGTAAAAATTGCATAATTAGAATGAATTGAGATGTTTGAAAGTCGAGAATCAAAATGGCAAATTATGCTGTGCATCCGTATGCACCATGCATGGTGCATACGGATGCAAAAACGACGTCGTTTTAATAAAACGCGCGTCTCCCCTTAAAAAAAAAATCAGGTTCGATTCCCAGCAACAACATATGAACTAAAATTCCATAATCGATGAACTATAATTCCATAATCGATGAACTATAATTCCATAATCTAATCTATGAACTAAAAATTCCAGAATGAATGAACTAAAATTCCATAATCTATAAACTAAAATTTCAGAATCGATAAACTACAATTCCATAATCAATGAACTATAATTCCATAATCAATCGACTATAATTTCATAATCTATGAACTAAAATTCCAGAATGAATGAACAATATAATGTTGTTGCTAGGAATCGAACCTGAATTTTTTTTAAAGGAGAGACGCGCGTTTTTTAATAAAACGACGTCGTTTTGGTATCCGTATGCACCATGCATGGAGCATACGGATGCACAGCATAATGATTGAATCAAAATAATGAAATCTTAATAGTCAAGTGGCTAAATTAAGTATTAATTTTTTATCAATATATCCTAGGACTAATGCAAAGCAATTAAGGATAACGCTTGCTTGTTGCACTTTGTGTTTTGGTACATTCTATTTGAGCTACAAATAGTTGATTACAAACACAATAATTCTCCTTCAATCATTTAATAAAATTATTAGAAAAAGTGTTACGGACTAATATATTAGTTGATATACAATAATATTCATTTGATGTTATTATAATACTATGGAGTATATAAATATATAATTGTTATTTCTATTCAAGTGTCGTCATGTTTAAAAAAGAAATATAAAGAATAAATTATTTTTACCTTCTCTTTTCAATCGCTTGATAGAATCAAAATATCCTCAATTTTTTTTTTTCTTGAAAGAATAGGAGTAATCGAAGAATTTTGTTATAGATGTTATGATAGCATAATCAATATGTCATGTTCTATTTAAAAACTATTGAAATATGGCTATTTCTAAGCAACCAAACAAGAAAAAAATGAAGATAAAATAGCTGCTTTTAAGTTCTAACTTTTGAAGCCCATGTTTCAACATTGCTTATATATGCTTCAGCATTGCCATTTGAGTATTTTTTTTTTTTTTCTGTAGCCCAGGATTTTCACCAATACAGTGAAAAATTCCCCTAGCTGAATTGTAGGCACCTCTATTGGGTGGAATAGCTGGCTGCTCCATACCCGAAGCTATGGATCGAACCCTTGACCTTTGTAGGCACCTCTATTGAATGGGATAGCTAGCCTTGAGATTTAAGACTGCTCTATACCCAAAGCCAAGGATCGAACCCTTGACCTATGATTAAAGTTGGATGAGTCTCTTCCGCTCGACCACTACCCTAGGTTAAAAGCATTTGAGTATAGGCTTTCATTATATTACTTTTGCCTGGCTGACTGTAACACAAACATTTACATTAACATCACTGGAGATTGCTGCCTAGCTCCCTAATTTACCCTAACAAAGTTTCATGTGTTTTCTAAAGCTGTCTCTCTGTATCAAATCCATTTCCTCTCAAGAATTTTATTTAAAGTTAATACACTTCTTGAGTTGCAAGAGATTTTCAGCTCCTGAGAAATTTCCATGGACCTGTTCCAGTTCCTATCCTGCAAATATTCAAGGAACAAGATGAACTTCTCGTTTATTTTTCATCAAAAACGCATAACGGGTTGATCAGATGAGGCACGTTCTCACCTCCAGAACCCAGCCAGGGCTCTCAGACCCATATAAATGGTTAGTGCAACCCAGATTCCTACAAATCCAAACCACGACGAAAGAATGAACAATAATATGATGCTGAAGATCGCCACCGTAACCTGCAGATACAAATGCAGCCAGCAGCTTTATTAGCGAATATTTAGTATCAGTAACAGTTTTTATAAGGTTCTGAAAAAAAAACAGTTTTATTAGTTAGGGCTGTTAGGCAACCAGAAATTTGGAAATTTTAAGGTTTCTGCTGCACTTATGGCAAAGTATTTCATTATTAGTTTTCATCTGATATTCTGATTTTGGGTAGCTCCAGTTTAACAAGGGGTGACAGAATAATTGAAGCATGTGCTTCATCTCGACTAAAAGCTGGCTCTGATACCAAATTGAAGCTCCATCTCAACTAAAAGTCTAAACTGATAATTGGATTGCACATTAATGGTTATATGCTCAACAAGAATTACCATGGAATAGGCAGAATATGCAAAGTCAGATGCACCAAAGTTAACTCCATCGAAAACGAAGGCCAAGGCGTTGATAGGTTGAGAAGCTGCAACAAACTGCCAAGAAAAGGGAAAGTTTAGTTAGTTAAGCCAGATATCGGTTTTTCAAAGGTGATATGTAAACTTTTGCACAGAATAGAGGGATACCGGGATGCCAACGCCAATAAGGTTGATCACATTGGCGTCTTTCGTAAACAGTCTTGCTCCAAAGTGTAAACCAACTCCAAGAAACACGGCTAGGATCACCCCGAGTGCTATTCCTAGCTGCAACGTAACAACATCAAGAATTTCGTGTTTCCAAATTTACAAGTGCGGGCATAACCATATCAGATGAAGCTAGCTAGCTAGCAAGCAAGCGCACCTGTAGCACACGGGATGCAGTTGCAGCCGCCCTACTAAACTCTTTCTTAGCGAATGCACTCGCTAGTATTGCCTTCACAAGTAATGATCGATCAGTTAAACCAATTTGTCAGGAGTCCCACATTGATAAAATAAGAGAGAACATATGGGTTTATAAGGCTATGGGTTAGACTAGCTTTTTTATAACACAATTCAATAGTCGATTTGCACGAGAGTCACTTCGTTCTAACCTGTCCAGCTACAGCCAACCCGTCAGCTAGAAGAGACGTCGCTAACCAGACCTGCAGGCACACCTGGAACGCAGCCATTTGTGTTGATCCTAGCCGGGCAGCTAATGATGCAGCTAAGGTTACACAGAACGTAACGGCTATGACCCTCATCAGTAATAGAAATCCTGAGTTTTCAGTATAAGTTAAAGCAAGTGGAATATGTTTAATTAACTTTCAATTACTCAATCATTGACAATTAAGGCTCACCATTTCTAAGAAATCGACCAAATTGCAGGTATTTGAGACTAGGAGGAATTAAATCAACTTGCTCCATTAATCTCCAAAAAAGTATAATCGAAATAAGGTACCTATAATAGCAAATTCAAATGAGATTTCATAACATCATTCCAATATGGAAACCTCAAATCTGTATCTTTATGTGCCTTGTAGAACTTACTGAGATATGACATGGGAAATAGCTGCCCCTCTAACCCCTAGACGGAAAATGAAGATAAATATAGGATCCAAAATTATGTTTGTTAAATCCCCCACCACTGAAACAGAGAAAAAAGCACAAATGAGATATATTTCCACATTTCTTTCTGCTAGAAATGAAGAGTTTCACTTGCTTGAGTGCTAGTTTTCGCGATTCTTAATTGCTTACCAGTTGCGAAAAGGGGAGTTTTCGTGTCCTTAAATCCTCGGAAAACACCCTGCATGGCTAAAGACAGAAGAACCGCTGGGGCGCCTAGTGACCTCAACGCCAAGTACTGCTGTGCAGGTTTTAACATGGGCGAGCCCTGTCAAGAATGTCAAAAACACACTTCAAAATTTGATCATTTCGAACAATTTGATCACTCCTCCGAACCCAAACTCACAGATTTGATCCCCATGAATTCCAACACGGGCTTTGCGCCCGTGATCAGCAGCACTGCTTGAATTAGGCCAAGGATGCCACCAATGATCAAAGCCGATGAGGCAGATGGGATGTGGCGCTTTTCGTTGTTATTAGGAGCTTCTACTTCAAAGGCGTTACCACTCTCTTCAGAACCTAATCAGATACGACTCGAGTCAAACAAATTAAACCAACATATCATAGAACAACAGGTAACACAAAAATGGACTGCTAGCTGCCATACCATTTTCTGGTATCAACTTTTTACTCTCACTCCCTGCAGATAAACTTTCAGTGTCTTGTGAAATCGAGCCGCTTTTCCTGATAGTATCTTCCTCAGCAACGAAAGAGGTAGTGACGCTGACAAGTGGAAATATCGCGATTCTCGACACTTGGTTGAACACAGCAATAGAAACTCCAACAGCAGCAAGCTCAACTGAGCCTGCACCATTAGTACATCAACTTATGGAACGGTACAAAACAAGAAAATTGATGAACCAACTTATCTAGTAGCGCATGCCTAACTTTATTTCCTTATAAACAGATATCATATTTTCGAGAGGCAGGGTACTAGACTGCCCTTTACCAGACTCTGTCCAACAATCTCTCTAGACTCTAGCCACCAATTGATGAACTTGGCCCTCTACTGACCTCCGCTCAAACACTTAAATTTCCTTGCAATGATTTAGAAATCAAGAAACACATATATAGTACCTATTTGGCCTATGAAAGCTGTGTCAACCAGAGAGGCAATAGGATCAGCTGTCAAAGCTAGTGCTGCAGGGAGGGCAATCCTGGCTATTTCAACACCCAGCTCATCTAGCTTCAAAATTGATCTGCTTTAATTTCACCTTCAAATTTGTTAACAAAATACACACAAGAACACTCCTCTTCCTTACATAACCATTCTGGAGAAAATTTTCATTATATTTGTAATTCAATGCAATCAAGAATTGGGAAAAGGGAATGAAACCAACTCTGATCTCACCTTGCATCCCTGAAGAAAATGAAGAGAGGGATTTTCCCATTATCTGAACATGCAACTTCCTTCTCTGCCATGCTCCTAAGCTGCCACCTTCCTTTTCCTGCCCAGAAAAACAAAAGGTTGAATTTCTGAACTGAAATGTCAAGACTGCAAAATAAGTAGGCTTAAATAGCTGAGAATAACGATTCTGGCTGGGTGGCATGTTTTTCCTTGCACCCACCTTTTCTTTGTTAAAAAAAAAAAAAAAAAAGATGAAAGAAAAAAGCATGAACTCAGTAAATTCTTGTCAAAGATGGGAGATGACCAATTAGCCAATGAAGACTATGAAGTCAGCTATATTTCAGAAGACTTGTCACATCAACCTAGTTTGTTAACAGAGGGGCTCCTTGTGTACAGTAAATAAAAAATCTAGTATGTATTTAGCAAATTATTCTGTGAACTCGGGTTCAAAGATACACAACTTACATATTAAATGTTCACAATTTATCTTTTAAAAATTTACAATTTGTGATGTATTCACAAATTCTCAAAACTTAAATGTATGGTATTCACAAATTCTCAAAACTTATATGTATTGTATTCAGAAATTCTAAAAATTTAAAAATTTAAATATATTGTATTCACAAATTCTCAAAACTTAGAAACACAATTTATATTCTAAATGTTCACAATTCCAATACTAAAAATACACAATTTAAGATCAGGGCAAGGTGGTCCCTGGTTCATGGTATAACAACTGTTTACAATCTTATGTGGACTAGGTGTGAAATCATTTGGAATGGATAATTTTACCTTTTTTGTCGCAATTAAGATGATTAAAAGAGTTGTGTCTGGCCAGATGCTATATAATTGTGTAAATTTGACTTGGATTAATGCATAAACCTTCCTCTTTAGTCTTTACCCACACAGATGATGTCACATCGTCTCAGAATCTTGATGATAATTTTCATGGACAGAAATGTTTTGTGTCATCGATGGTACCTTTTCCTCAAAGTCCTCAACCACACATGACGACTTACATTAGCATTCACTAAAACGCTACTTTGATTAATGATTAGTGGCGTGTAAATTGCTGCAGTATTTACGGTCTTTTTAGTACTTCTTTTGGGTGTTTTGTTTTTTTGTAGTTTTTCCTGTTTGGAGAGAGAGAGAAGAGTTTGTTGCAGGCATGGACCAGAGTTTGGGTCCCCTATAGGGTGTAGGATTTCCATTTTCCCAGAAAACCAAAGTGGTGATACGGCAAATGACATGTGTCCTAAACCAATGCATTGAGGAAACAAAATGGCCTTGCACTTGCCGTGGTTGAAACTTGACAGTCTTTGACACCGACGGTTCTCTCGATACTTCTTGGCTGCCGTTGCCAGGAAGTTTCTCCACTTTCTTTTCCCAGGCATCAAAACCTTTGGAAATTGGAATCCAGTAACGGACAAAATACAAAACATTTATGGGTGTTGCTATTTGTAGTTTGTAACACCTTCTAAGTATAAATAGTCTTAGAATTGTTAAAACGTCTAAAATTTCAATAAGAGGGTGTTTGGTTGGATGTAATTATGGGTATAGTTATTTGTACCACCCTCTAGTAAAAAATGGATGTAAATAATCTTAGAATTGTGAAAACGTAAAAAATTTTAACAATTACATACGTGGTGAGGTGGTGTAAATAGCAATAAGACTGTAAATATGATTATTTATACCAACCTAGTTAAAATAATTTACGAGATTTCATTAATAATTTTTTACCTTCTCACCGGAGAAGGAGAGGGATTTTCTTTTTCTAATGTTTTAATTGGGAATAAAAATAATAATAAATATTTTTAAAAAAAAATAATGCTTGACTAACTTTAATGAAGGTGATGTAAATAGCAAGTTATTTTATTTACACCACATATAAAGCTAGCACACCTATAAAAGGGTTGTGTAAATAGCAATCAGGGTGGTATAAATAGAATTTCCTAATATTTATATGTTTAAAACAATTGAGTGGATTATAAAACAATTGAGTGGATTATCAATACAATTGTAATGTTTGAGGTTGGATATTACTTAAATAAACATTTGTTATGAATATATAAATTGATGACTGCTAAGATCTTGTGGTCTAATGGCACCAAGGTTGAACTCTCATATAGGAGGTTGTAGGTTCAAGCTTCAGTAGAGGTGTTATTAGCTTTTTGTGCTTTAAGTAGTAGGTTGAGAAAGAACATTAATGACTATTATCTCGTGATCTTTTTATTGCCATTTCTTCATCTTCTACATATGAAAGGTTTCTTTGTTCTATATATATATATATATATATATATATATATATATATATATATATATATATATATACATGTTTAAGTTTAGTGGATATAGTGCAACTACGCGTACTATCCTTACAGATAGAAGGTACGTTTTGCCGTACCCTAAATGAGACAAATATCAATATTACAACAATATCTAATGACGAGGTATAAGTAGTGGGCTCCGGTAGAGTTTCACTGATTCTCCCTAAGGGTACTGAGCTAATAAATAAAAATGCCTTGTTGTACCGTAAATCTAAATGTAGCTTGCTTAGTTTAAAGGCATTAGATCAAATGATTTTCATATTGAAACCAAAACTGTGAATAATCAAGGGTACTAATCATGACTAGTTAATTACTTGCCATAAACAAGAAGTTGAGGAACCCGTTCTTTTACTCACATGAGTTTCAAAAGGGTAGTGAAATTCTTGTTGAAAAAGTTCATTCTAGTGATAATCTGACAAATATGTTCACTAAGTCCTTGTCTATATCCACTTTTGAGAAATATGTTCATAAAATTGGAATACAAAGCCACATTCGAAAGATTATATATCACTGCTGGAAATTTCGCATTTTCCGTCCAACATCCAACAAATGTTGGACGGAAAACGCGATATATTGGTCGGAAACGACGTTTCCGTCCAACATACCGACCAAAAGGAACGTTCGGAAAAACCTCCGTGGGAAATTTCGTCCAACTACAATTTTTGGTCGGAAATAGCGTCCAACGAACAAAATTGGACGGAAATTCCGGAAAATAACCCACCATTTTTAAAACGTGAGAACTTCCGATCAACTTTGTGCGTTGGTCGGAAATTCCGTCCAACTACGTGCGTTGGTCGGAAATTCCGACCCAACGTTGGACGGAAAACTCACATATTATATTTTGTTATTTTCCTTCCAACTGTTGGTAGGAAAATCCTAAATCATATGGAATATTTTTATTATTTTTATAACTGTTGTTAACAAATTATGTCATCAACAAATTAATGAACACACTAAATTGAAAATATATTTAAACATCAAAATTATTTACAACAAAAATTATGTTCATGTTCATAAAAAAAAAAACATAAAAAATATATACTACTTGATTGATGCTCCGTACTACTTAAGTATGAAAATATACTTATTTGATACTACATAAGTAATAAGCCTTCAAATCCGGCACTGCTTCAATGACTTTGATCAATGCAGCATCCACAACCTCCTTCAATGAAGTTGATCAAGTGTAAACCTTCACCAAAAATGGACCATGATATAAGTAATCTAACACTGAATGAGTAGATACCTATGCATTTTACAAAATGACTAGAAAATTAAAGGAATGTCTTTTATGTTTAAGTAATCTAACACAGAAAAAATAGAAAACTTCTGAATTCTTACATCCTAATTCTAAAGTTTGTTTAGTATAAGAGATGTACTCCACAAGTCTTGCTGAACTGCTGCTTTCACACGTTATACTATAGATTTGAACTTAAAACATAACAAAACAATAATTGTCCAGTATCACTTAAGGAAGATATATAATTGAGTACCAATTAGTGCAACAATTTAACTCACTTAAGGAAGAGATACACACAGTGATGCTAATAGGAAAATGTCAAATGTAAGTTGTCCCTTACTCTCTTTCATCCCAATCTGCAGGCTGGAAAAAGAAAGAAGAATGCTCCGATGCATATTTATAGATGTTAATGCCCACAATTTCAACAAAATAATTCACTAAGAATGATATTATAGTAGATAATAACTAATAATCATCCACAATAATCTTTAATATGAGGAAATGTCACATATTTTCATTCACTGTAGATATGTAAAACTCCAAGTAAAGCCCAAGCGATTCAGTAAGTTGGTGCAATGCAAAGAAGAGAGTAAGAGGGTAAAGAATATAGAGATGCATACATGAGTTCAGCCATCTTCATGATAAGAGAACATATATGAAAGCATAATTGGCCATTAAATCTAAAGAATCACAATAAATGCAAGAATCAGCAATAAACACTGTATTCAAACACATAAAAGTTGAGTCTTTATCCTTCACTACTTCTGAGCCATCTGTTTGAGTTTCAGGTACAGATGCAACCTGCAACTTTAAGCCCATCACACAGCATGCAAATATGATCTCTTTATTGTAGAATGATGAGTGGTGCAGAACCCTTATCTAACACTAGAAGAAAATTCATAAATCATACTTCACGTAAAACAGCCAAACAAGGTTGAGCCTAGTAATAAGATGCATAAACATGCCCTAATATAATAAAGAGATTTTGCATATATATATTCAGCATATTTGAGTACTTTACTAAGTTAATACCAAGCCAATCCATATCCCTATTAGGAGACAAGAAACGAACCACAATTAAAGAACAGAGGGAAAAGAATCTATAATTCAGATAAAACTACTTTTCTCCAGGTGGCATTACAATTTTTTAGAAGAATAAGGGTAGTTAGAGTGAGTTGCACTCAGTCTTTCATTTCTTTTTTGAATTATGTGGCTGGTAGTCTTTAGCCTACGTATAAATAGGCTTTTATCTTGTACAGTTTTACACAGAAACATATATACAGTTTTACAGTTCCAACACTTAACACAATTGTTGCATTGTATCTTTTTTATTGATATCTTTACAACTCTATCTATACATACCAACATTTTACAATAAGAAGGCTGCACCCACTGATCCCTGTCGTCAAAAAATTAACTAAAGAGGGAAATGAGTCTATGACAAGGCAAGCTACATGCCTATTATAAAGAAAACTTTCAGTGGACAACTACAATAGCTTCTAGCTCTAATAGACAAAAAGGTGGTATAATTGAATGTCTAATAAACCAAACAAAGTGCAGGTATTAAGACTGGGGAAAAAAACATTTAATGCATTTCCTATCTGAGGATGATTAAGAGCTACATGCATCAGAATTTATGCCAAGAAAAAATTTATGGCCACAGAAGTATATTCTAAAGCTCTGTGTTCACCAGCTAAATGCTTTTTTGTGAATTAATTACTTTACTCATGAA